CAAGCCTAGACCGCAGCTAAGAAGGAGACTTCAAACAGCAACAGCTCAAACAGAAAGTCAAAGGACTGCTGGGTTTCTTCTTCTTTTCTAAATGGCAAATCTCAAAGCAGAGGAAAGATGTGAAATGAATCATTTTTTTAAAAGTGCCGCACAACATCCTGAAACCACGGCATATTACAAAAGCTGCAAAAATAAAAATGTAATCTCGTTAATTCAAAAGCTGTAACATCAAAGCTTTCACAATAACACTGAGCGAATGCTATCCTTCAGCGAGTTGTACAAAAGACAGAGGGTTTAGTCTCCTACAGAGAGTAATGTGCACACAATGCACGAAACACCCCCCAACTATCTCAGCTCTAACCTCACTTCTTACTAAAAGGGTCTCGTCCTCTTCCAATTCCCCAAACTCCCCTTCACACAGCACTCATATGTTGCAAATGCACAAAATGCATCCTTCAGCTCATGTTCCCATAATGCTCTGTGGCAGCAGCGTGATTAATGCACACAACTATTGATTTCTTTTTCTTTGCTCTTTTCTTGCCCCCCACCTTCAAACACTTCACACTTTGCACTCACACAATGATTTCGGTGGAAAAGAAACTCGCAATAACAGCACCTACACACACACCTACACACACTGCACAAACAATAAGCACCCCCATCTCCCTGCAGTGTGTGAGTGGACTGGGGAAAAGGGGTGCAGTGAAAGACAAGGGTCAGCATTTCACTAACTGCTGATCTGTGTAGGAGGGGGAGGAGGAGGAGGAGGAGGGGGGGGGAAGCAAAATGATAGGCTGTGTTGTTTTCACAGGGTTTCACTGCAGGATGGGTGGAAATAGCACCAACTCAGACACATGCATGCATGTAGCGTATATTTGCACGCACGATCATGCACACGTACTGAATTGCATGCAGGGACCAAGCCCCAAGACGACCCGAGGAGAGACAGAAATCTGGAGGGAGACGGAGAATGAGAGGCGGAGATTGAGCAGAGGAAAGGGGAAGAAGGCAGAGGGAAAGGATCATGTGGCTAAATGTGACGCAGTCCCCTTGTTTACCAAAGAAAAAGCCTTCTCTCCACCTTTCAAATCTCCTCCTTCTCAGTCTTTTGTTTCCTCACTTCCTCTCGTCTAATCTCTCCTCCTCTACATTTCCTTGCATCCTCTTTCATCCCGAGCTCATTTCCTTCCTCTGTGCCCTCCCTTTCAAGGTTGGCCTGACTTTGGGCGTGTTGAATTTACAGCCCCGTCCCCGCCTGCCTCTCAGTGCCCTCACTGTCAATCTGAGTGAAAAATGGAGGCAGTGGCACATCAGTGGCATGATAAATCCCCGCTGAGCAGTGATCCTGCAAACCCAACACCTACAGTAGCCTCCTTTGAAGACATCCTTAACATTCAAGCGACTGAGCCGGTGGCTGGTTAAGACTGTGATTCTATTAGCAAGCAAACTGTTTAATTAGCCTCTATAAGCACTCACAAGAACCCATGAGAGAGGAGTGAGCAGCAGAATGCAGAGGCTCTTTCATCGCTTTCATGATAAACGCACAGTTGGGAGGCGGCCGACGGGAATGGGACTGAAAATGCAACTGGAGATTTTCTTTGAGTATTGGAGGGACTTATTTGGGTACCACTTTACAATAAGACTACCCTTATAAAGGATTCATTAAGGGTTTATAATTAGGTTATTAATTAGGTTGTAAACACTTTATTAATCATTAAGAACTATTTATAAACCAGTTCCAACATAGTTTTCATACATCAACACAGGCTCACTATTTGGCAAGATGACTAAGCCTTATATTGGCTACCTAGCTTACTTTTGGCGCTTTTCCACTGCAGGGCCTCGCTCGGCTTTGTACGGTATGGCTAGGCCTCGGTAGGCCAGGCTCACTTTATGCTGCGTTTCCATTACAGTTTAGGAACTTGGGAAGTAACTATAGTAACGCAGTGTAGGCGGAGCCATGACGTCATCTTCATTGCGAAACACAAAACCAACATCAGCCGTTAGCTGTTAGCCCTCAGAGCTCACAGCTCCTCATATCTGTTCAGAAACTAGACAAAAGTTAAACAAAACAACAGACTGTCTGTGTCATGGAGAATACAGTCGCTGGTTTATTTATGTCTGTATAGGCCGTTGTTGTGACGGTCGGAGCATATACTGCGTTAGCTTAGCCGATCTCCATTCAGAAAACACGCATTTTAAAAGGTTTTCCGCCTGCCGTCTGTCTGCAGACTTGTCAAAGCATTAATTCATGGTTTTTACTAACCGGTATCAGAATGTTTTTACTTTGGCATCATTTTGAAACGTGTATTACAATTAAATCACGGTCAAATATGTTCATTTTGTTGTAGTTGCCAGCGATTCTCTCTCTAGTTTAGCATACTCAGCCCAGTTGTTGGCCCGGAAAGAACCTCGATTTTGGAGAGCCAGAAAACTGTGAAAAAATAACCGCTAGCCGGAACTACGCCTAGTGGAAACGCAACCAAAAACGGGCCGGGCACGGCACGCTTAAACCGCACTGTAGTGGAAATGCGCCATTTGTCTTCTTCATCAGTCAGCATCCTTGGTATCTGTCGTTCACTGAGTTGATTCCCCCCATCCATCTTGTTGTTTCTTGGCATCTCTTTGACCATTTATTTCTTTCATGAAAAATTGAAAAAGGAAAAGGCAGAGTGGAAGGAAGCAGTCGGGAAACAACAAAGCTGGGTCAAACTGCACCCAGTTGCCATCGCCATGTCGATATCCTTATGGCCTGTCGCTCGCACACACACACACACACGCACACACACACACATCTTCTGCTCACCCTCGCTCCTAGAGTAAACATACCCTCTCCATAACAGTGCGAGGTGAAGCTGCTCATGCATCAGAATCGACCATGAAATATTTATCACGGAGCAGCAGTGATTTTGACAGTCTGCTCATGCTTTTGACAGCACTCGCCTGCTGCAATACTTATTGGAGTAAACACGGACAATCCAATATCGTTGTTCTGTTGAATGCTAGCGAAAGAACTTGAAAGAAAGCCAAGCGTACAATATCGTCTTTCAACTAGCCCGTCAAACTTGCTGTAGAAATAAAATAAAAAGTTACTGATAATTGTCAATTTAGGAAGTTATACATGCAAAGAGAACCTATACTCTTTTTTTATTTGAGTAATTAGGTTTAAATAAGTTAGTAAAGACAAAATTAAGAAGTATAGTATATGTGTCTTTCTGAAAGAGGACGTCATTTTGAAGTTCATATTAGTATGTTGTGTCTCTATACTGTGACATGTCTCCATGCTTTAATGTTCAAAAAGCTCTTTATGTTTCTCATACTGCCTGCACCTCTTTTCACCCTCTGTCTGAAACCAGAGGCCAGTCTGCTCTGATTGGTCAGCTGGCCGACTCTGTTGTGATGGGTCAACAACTTAGAGATGTCCTGCCCCCTAGCCTATCACGTAGATTGTGTTGGAGCGCTAGCCAATAGAAGCACAAGTGTTGCGTAGTGATGACTCAGTGTGTGTGGGAGATAAACTCCATCTGGAGGGAACACAGGGATTTTAGCCGCTGCAGACCATTTACATGCACTAAAACCTATAGAACACTACAGGGAAGGGAAAACCTCAAAAAGCATAATAGGGTCTCTTTAACAAATTATTGGCAATGATTGTATGAATCCAAATTCATTCATACGTGCAAAGATGATCGATACTTTTCTAATTCCTTAATTTATTATAGTTGTAATAGAATAGTCAAGACAAAATAAGGAAAGTACTGTAAACACCACGTCTACTAAAGACACAGATGTTAAAGCATTTCATCCCCATAATGGACACTTTTTTTTTTTCCAGCCGCAGATGAGATAAACATCATCTCTGAGTCTTGTCTACATGTTTCATTTCATTTACAGAACATAATCATATCTGCATGCTGCATATTTGCCCGCTCTCCGTGACATTAGGCGATGTCTTCCACCGGCAGCTCGCAGCGAGTAACTGGAGTAACCTCAAGTAAATAAGTCGCTGGCATGGATCAGAAGACACGTCTTCACGCATGAGCACACACATTTAAAATGCCACCAAAACACCGTCCCAGATTCTGCCCTCAGTCAAATGACATCAAGTGCTCACTTACAGGTCCCTGAACGCCCCAGTATGAAGCGAAACCAGCCAGCGGGCAGTACATGGAGCAATCAAGAGATAAGCATCCCATTTAACGCGAGTAAAAAAATCCAACCCGCAGAACGTGGCGGTGTGTCTCGCGTTATCCTGCTGCGCCGCTGGATTCAAACAAGAAGGGTATAACTAGGTCAATGACGCTGTGTAAACTGTTTCACTTTACCCCGTGCTGGACTCAAAATGGAGTTGGCTGAGGTGAAGGAGTGTGTGTAGGAGAGAGAAGCTCAGTGATTCAATGTGACAGTTATCAGCATCCTCTGGCTGGTGAGAGGACTGTGCTGCAGAGCCCCGTAACGCTTAGACTACGGCAGGTAAGGAGATGACTCACAGAGAAACAGAACATGGTGTCCAAAGAGCGAGGAGCAGGAGTGGGATAAAAAACAACGAGAAAACAACGAGAAAAGAAAAAGCAAAACACCTTTCCCTCCGTCAAACATTAAGTCGTGCAGTTTTGGACAATAAGAATACCTTCTGCTTTGTCATTTTACCATTAACTGTCTTGGGCATTTAATACATATTTATTTGGAGTTCTGACAACTAAATAAAAATACAAAAACATCTCACCAATGGCTGCTTTCTGACTCTCTCGCAACAGAGGAATTGTCAGTGGTGGAAAAAGTATTCCGATTCTATGCGTGAGTAAGAGTACTAATACCACACTGTAAAGTAAAACAACTGCATCGAGTAAAAGTATTAAGAACTAATAGGAAAATGTATTTCAATTATTTAGATTGGATTCATATTCATTCTGTTACTCCCTGTACCTGTGAGAATGTTTCACTGCAACAAGTGAAATGTTCTGTTATCTTCCGAATAAATAAAGATATATTTGTCTTACCTGAGTTGAGTGAAACGGTGTCTTTCTCCCATGATACAACATTGACGTAGGCCTCAACAGAAGCAGGGATAATGCACTTGAAGACGGCTACACTGCCTCTCATGGCCTTCTGGTCGGCCACTCGGACTGTGTAGGGTTCCCGTGATACTAGGGAACAAAAACAGAAACATAAATATATTTCTCATTCATAAGAGAACATTACTGTATACATAATTTTTTTACCATTTTTGCTGCAGGTACGTGAAGCCTGTAACTACAAGCCTCACAAACAACCACACATCCTGAAGTTTATGCTTTTCTTTGTTTAACATCATACATACAGACACATTTTTAACCAAAAGTATCGATTGAGTGCCGGAATCTTGTTGAATATGGTGATTGGTAATTGTGTGTTGTGTTAACACCTGCCTATGTGGGTGTGCCTGGTTCATTGGACTGTACCATTTCCCTAAAACTTGAGGGGTGTTTAAAGAAGCCACTTCACCTAAGCCATATTTTAGAAGGGAAGAGTCTTTTCTCCCCTGCACTCAACTATGGTTTGGCCAGTATTGTTATAACTTCCTGCAGTGTGGAGAGGAAGGCCATGTCAGGAGGAGGAATCAGCTGAGCATGTGGTACTGAGACGTAGAAGGTATGTAACACATAGAGAGAACAATTTAAGGAGTTAGGAAAAGTTAGTTTAACAATACTACTTATTTGTTGTATAAAATGATACGATTTTATACTGGAAGAAGAAAAAATAACTACTTTTATTGACACCAGAGGTAAGAATCAAATGATATCAACATTTTTGAAAGGTTTTTCTGTTGAAGCCAAATAGGCAAGATTCAAACAGGTGAGCAGATATATAAAAAGGATGTGTATCACACTGTGCAATAAATACAAGTAAATATACCATCGTCTGTCAGCTGCTCCATTACCATCTACTTGTTTCTATTCACTTTTATAATGCTGTTACTTTTTATTCAGGGAATATGTGATTATTATGAGGTGTTACATACTGTACATTTGCCTCTTTACTTAATACTGTAATATTTTGCCTTTTATCAGAATTGTCTCCTGCTGTAACGATGTCAATATCCCCTCTGTGGGACGAATAAAGGTAATTCTGATTCTGACTAAACAATATTATCTCTGTGGCGGTCAAGAGTTAACTGTAATGTGTCCAAGAAATCTTTCAAATGCTCCAAAAAAATGTCAATCTATATTTTTAATCTGCTGAGAAAAAGTCCATACAAGTAGCTACTGAGTGGACTTTGTGGTGGGAATAAGTAAATTAAATAAGCACAAATTATTACAATGTTTCTGACCAACTGTAACCGTTTGATATTTTTAACATATGTACTCTCAGCCGATCTCCCTGAAGCAGTGAGATATCCATCCATCAGACTCAGGTCAGTTAATTAAAGTCACGCTTTAAATGCTTTGAGCTTTTGCTCTTTGTCAAAGAAACATGACAGGGTTATTATAAGATTCTGGAAACCTGCACTTAATTAATTTAGACTACACACATTTATCAATCCCATGAATAAGTATTTGAAGTGATTGATTTTTGCACTGTATTCATACAAAAGCCATCATGACTAAAACATATTATATACTGGTATTTTAGTCCCAGCATTAAAAGTATGGCTCACAGAACTGATGGTAAAACTGCACTTTGCCAGAAATCAATACATTGTACGTTTTCTAGATTTTGATCAAATCTAGCAAACTTAAGTGTCTCATCTCGCAAAAGGAAGTACATCTTGAGTGTTGTTTCTATTACATTTACATTGTTTGTATGGAAAAGAAGCATGGCAATACCGTGTTTAGTTATCTGTGTGCTTGCTTTTATATTTAATATATAAGTCTACCCTTTTGCCTTTTATCTGTATCACTGTAAATGTCCCCGCTGCAGGAAGAATAAAGGATTTCTGATTCTGATTGATGCTAACAAAATTTGAAACAAAAGGCCTAACTACTAGTACTGTTATTAATACATGTATTTAATACTTTGACTAGTGCTCCTGCCATTTCCCTCACCATCACCATCATTATTAAAGGAACCCCTGCTACTCTGAGCGTTGGACTCACCAGCTTTGATGTGGACATCCTGACTCCTGATCTTGCCGGAGGGGTTCTCGGCAGTGCAGTAGTACGTGTTGTCGTGGATCAGCTTGCTGAAGCTGGATGGCAGGAAGTTGAAGATCTGGAGGGTTCCATTGGGGTGGACGTGGCGGATGCCGGGGACATCGTAGATCTCCTCGCCGGTCGCCAGATACCAGCGTAGCGAGGCAGGGGGCGCGCCACCAGCAGGACAGGGCACAGAGGTCCCTGTGGTGCTGGCAAATACTACCTCTTGCAAAGATGCATTGACAAAGTATAAGCTGGAATGTAGGTCCTCACTGAAAACTGCAAGAGAGGAAACACAGGATGTTCGCTGTTACAACCAGGTATTGCACTTCATCCATTTCCTGGATGTTAGCAAAATCTTGAATAAAGTTCTTAAACATTTCAAAAATTAAAAAGCACAAATAAGTATCACTCTCATGCCACCTAGTTGAAGTGCTTCCATTTGCGTAACATGATAAGTAGTTAAGGATTCATCATGTATTCCCATCCCAGGGACCTCGGGAACATGATATTAGCATACTATCAATTATGAAATAAGGTCAGTTGCCTTGATCATGTTCAAGCTTTAATTCAAGCCAACATCACAGTGAAGAGACCAACGTCAAATGCAGTTTGTGCAGGAGCATTCTCCAGAGGACAGGAGGGTAATAAATGTCAATGTTGGACCAATTAGCTCCACAATAATCTACAGCTGTTTGATTTCAGAGTGAAGTCAGCACATTTGCATCCGACTCTTTATATTTTTTATTTCAGGAAAATAATACTTGTACAGTATTTGTTGTGCGTATCTCAGCATGGTGACAAGCCCAGAGGCTGTGCACTAAATGGCTTACAGTGGCACTGGCAGCTGGCTTGGACCCTCCCTGGGGAGAAAACATTTTAGCACTTCATAAATTCCTAACAAGGTTTCAAATTGCAGACGTGTCCATCCTCTTCTCTGCTTCAGCAGCTCTCAGCCAGCAATGAGACACTTCAATGACCTACTCATGTACACACGCACGTCATCCACCCAACTCTCATTTGTTGTTACAAATTAGGAATACGTATTTAAAATCATCAGCATACAAAAGATCAATACTGCAGCATTTTTTCTGCAAGAATGTGTTGACATATTGGATATCTGGACAATTGCACCAACTCTATAATGCAAATAACTCTGCACTCCCTGTTATAGAAAATGGTAAACCTATTCAGATAATGCAGACTGGCTGTGTGGATTTCTGTCTGACCACACACATTTTACGTTGTGAAAGATTTGAATGATGCCTAAGTAATAATATAACACAGAATGTGTTTATATTGTTTCATTAATGATAACAGAGTTTACTGTGTGCCTCACATTTCAAATTAAACTGAGGTCACCAAACTAGTAATACTTTATTTAGACAATAGACAGATGAAACCAAAACTATTAAAGAGGAGTCCTTAAGAGGGATTTAATCAGCCAAATGATTTGAAACACCTGCAATAGAACAAAATCATATCACCTCTGATTCATTCATAACACATGATGAGATTAATACTTTTACTTTAGATCCATTACACTTTGCTCAAAATACACATGTACCCTAACTTAAGTAAGTTATTTGTAATGCCGGACTTATAAACTAGATTGTGGAAATATAAGCCGTCACCTTTGGGCTTACGTTAGCTAAAGGTAGCAAGCTGAATATGTCAACTATCAACTATTAAAATGAAATAACTTTTTTAAATCCCATCCCCTCTGATTAACAAGGATTAATACCTGTAATTTAAATGCACACTTTGCTCAAAATACCTACGTACTTTAATTTAAGTAAAGTTGTTTGAATGCACGATTGTTAAGCTAGCTGACATATGCTATCACCTATTGAGCTAATGTTAGCTAAACCTAGCTGAATTTGTCCCTTAGCAACTAGTTCACATTAATATAATATTCATTCTTGTGAAATAATATGAATACATTCACATTACCTCTGATTCGGCATGATTAATACGACGTATCTTTATTTAAGTAAAGTGTTTTTTAATGCCAGTTTGTTAAGCTTGCAGACATAATATATGCTATCACCTTTTGAGCTAATGTTAGCTAAACCTAGATGATTTTTTCCCCTAGCAACTAGCTCACATTAATAATATTAATTCTTATGAAATAATATGAATACGTTCACATCACCTCTGATTCAGCATGATTAAAACTACGTACTTTTTACTAAAGTATAGTCGTTTTTAATGCTTGACTGTTAAGCTAGATGGTGAAAATATAAGCTACAAGCTACATTAACGTTAGCATCCAGCAACGAAGTCAAAAACAGTACAAGTCAAGTGTTTAACAACATATTGCTGTTTTTGGCATTCCAGATGTTGTAACAGGTGCTTTTTACAGTACAATACATAAAATAAGTGAAAATGACCAACAAACCTGTAGTTTTTTTCTCTTGTATTTGCTAACTAGCAACTCCCGAAATAAAAGACTGTTTACCTTCAGCTGCTGGTATGTCTGTCACTAATCAAAAAAGAGAAGACCTGTGTCTCAATTATTAAGATGAATACAATACACTGCTTATGTTAAAACCTGTAAATATAACAGATTTTCACATATTTATGCAAATGATGCAAGCTGAGAGTTTAGGAAATATTTATATAGCCTATTATATTATCAGACATTGTTATCTACCAGGTCCACTTGTAATGAAGTTACCCTTTGACTGGGACATACATCTTCAGATACAAATATGTAACTTCATATTCGAGATAAAGAAGGAACAAGCAGACCATGTGGCACCCACAGCCTGCAGCCTTTCCATGGTGAAATACTGCAGTACAGCTTGTATCAAGGTGTCAGGCATGTCTACTGACTAAATCCATCTATTTCTTTGTAACTGTGCTTCCTGTCTTTCTCTGTATCCATGCTGATTTCATTTGTAAGTGTTAACAATGCACATTTCTGACTCACTCCTGCAAAAGCCTATTTGTTACTTCCATTTTTGAATTGTACAATGTGAAGACTAACAATGCACCTCTGGTTCTGCACATTCTGTGTGTATGTTAGATGTTAACAATATGATACTGTGAAAAGCTCAAAATGCTGGCAAGTGTACAAATAATATGGAGATTGTTTTCCATTATAATTCTGTATTTCAATATAAAAACTTTTTTATTATGTGAATTAATCACACACAAAAAAAACCACAAAGTATTCTGAATTGATAAAACCTGAATCCCTATGGAAATGAGTCACTGTGCAAGGTAGATCCTGTGAATTTCACACCGCATTTTACAAATAAAAGACATTGATTCCAATAAAATATTAAGAAGGGTAGTATGCTCCCAGCAGGGTAACTTTTGTACAGTATACACTCCTGAACAGTCTCTTACATCAAAAGTTTTAGCCAATTTGAATCTTTTAAAATGCGGTGGGAAAGTGTGCTGGGTTTCTCAGTGGGTCTGTGGCACAGGCCAAGATGAAAATAATACATCAAAGTCATATTAAACTCGGATTCATTCTCTTTTTTCCAGCTGGCACTGGGAGTATCAATCTTCCCGTAGCTCTGTTGAAAATACGGACTGAAGCCATGGGGGGGGGGAGGATCAAAACCCCACCTGTTCATGGACACCGCTCAAGGTTAGTGAAAAGTGGAAGACACTTTGAAATCACTCATGTGTATATTTTAAAACACGCTGCTGTTGTATTCAGTAGACATTTTCTTTGTGAATAAGGCATGGGGATTATAATTTAGACCCTTTATAAATGTCTATATTGTCTATAGTAGTGTAATGTAAAAGCAACATGCTGTCTGAAATCCTAATTGATCATACTGATAAGTGAAGATTGTTTTTCCAAACACATTTGCAAAAAATTACATGTTCTGCTTTAAAACATGACATTTTCTGCTTAAAAAAAACAGACACAACTGGCACACATCAAAGCTGTCTGAAAATACAATTTAGGTACTTAGTTAATTGAGACTTTGAACGTTACAGCGCCACAATAGCTAACAGTTGGAGAGGAGTATATCAAAGAAATGTGCCTTTGCCTGGTAAGCTTCTATTCTATTTTGGAAAAATTGGATTAGGATTTATGTCATTGCTGTTTTGATATTCGTCTATCTCACATATGAAAAGTACATGAGAGCAACTCAATTTGGAATGGCTGAGTGATAGCGAGATTGATTTAATTTAAAAAAGGAACTACGAAGGAAGGGTGCATATCACCGCGCTATACTCCTTTTCCTAATTGACTAAGCTCAGGTGCCACAAATGCTCCGATGACGCAGGTACACCCCTCCCCATCCCCCCAACCCAGACCTCACGGAGAGCCCTGTGTCACGCCCGAACAAAAGGCCCGACCACTTACTACATTGCCCGAGAGGAAATCAGTAATTGGCATAATTTTTCATGAGCTCAACCGTAAAGGTGTAACAAATGACACTGCTCAATAATGCATCGTATGCATCTATAATTGACTGTGATTTTTTCTTTCATGGGTAATCGTTTCGGAGAAGAACATAAGGAATGTTTCATTTAAATCTTTCTGTCAGATATGCCAGTATTTTTGACTCTCTATTGAGATGACATGGTTATAAAATGTGAAGCCTTTCATTAAACTGGTATATGTTTTGTTTTTGCAGATGCCAGCACTCTTTTTTCTTTTTGTGCCAATCTGCATTATAAACTCATTTGAACTGAAGGCTGCACAACTACAATAATGTAACTGCTTGACATTTAAACACTTTTAAATTGAATGATTACCTCAATTTAGGCACTTATTCATGTCGTTTGTAACGAAATAAGGCAGTATAACTGTTTTGTGTTTTTCATTATAAGAAAACTAGTTTATAAAAAAGAAAAAACCTGTGTAAACTCTATGTGATTTAGGAAATCCGCCGCAGTAACGTTTCCACAGACTTACAATATGATTAACAACACCGATGGTTCAGCACCATCACAGGATTGTTATGCTTCACACAATAGAGCTGATCAGCTGACAGGGTGTAACTAACCATGACAGTACGTTTTCACAGCCGCTGGCGCGCTTCATTTAAGTAAACGTGCAATCAATGCAATCAATGCCGATGGGAGCAAACGCTAAAGATGAAATCACTAACTACAGTAGCTGTTTTCAGAATAACAAGAAAGAATATTTTCAATCTTATATTCACAGCTTAAAGAGGCCTTGTTCTGCTTTTGGGGGTTTTCCCTTTCCTGTAGTGTGTTGTATATGTTTTTGTGCATGTAAATGGTCTGCAGAGGCTAACATTCCCAGTGTTCCCTCTCTCCCACACACTCCCCCTTCGCCT